AAAAAAAAAAAAAAAAAAAAAAAAAAATTGAATAATTCGTGTCGGTCGTGTTCTCCTCGAGTCCGTTTGGCTCACAGATAAATATCTTTCCCTACTCTCTTAGTACTCTTTACACCATTCGAGACAGGTCACTATAACATCTTACTATGAAAAGCACTCCGAACTTTTCAACCCTAGTTTTGTTCGGTCTTTAAAATCCACGTTCATTCCCAATACAAACTTTCCAACTTGTCATTAAATTCCAAAACGTAAAACGAACACGGGTTTTATGTCCATTCTCATCCTCTTTTTCCACAACCAAACGGTCCGGGAATTTTCTTTCAAAAACATCCTCACTATCAAATTTGGATTCGAAACATTTAAGTTTAGTTAATACCTTTGACCTTTCACAAATTTTAAAAAATACTCTTACTAAAAAATGTATTCATTTTCTTTTCTTTCAATGAACTCTTTCTAGTTGGGACCATTTCCATTTTGTTCTTAATAGTTCTCACTCCCTCGAGAAGATAAGTTGGAGTTCCCCTCGGTTTTGCATTTCTTTGGCTAATAAGATCCAAAAGGTTCCTCCGGTTTTCAATTACAACGGAGGAACGGAAGAAATATAATATATATACGCGTATGTGCGGGTGCGCGTGTGGAATGAGCTAGGGTTTCTTAGGTATTTTGAAGATTTAATTTAATTTTATATATATATATTTTTTTTTTTTTTATTGAACATTTTATCCACTCTTTGTAGGAAAGATTTGTTGTAGACTTGCTCAAAGGGACCCCTGATCAAAAGGAAAGTACCCTATATCCTACCTAGGGACCTTTTCAATTTGAACTAGTCTTCCTAAAACTACAAGTTTTTTTGTTTTTTTTTTTTTTTTTTTTTGGTTTTTAAAATTAGGTGCCTATTTTAGGTTATTCTGTCAAGGTGTTTGGAACCTTATGAGGCGGAAATTCCACATACGGTCTTGAAGTCAGTCTTGAAATCGCCCGATTCGACCAACTTTTGGATAACAAGAAGGCGAGCCGGTAATGTTTTAGACAGAACACTCTAGATGACCTGTGGCAAGTTGCCATAGAAGAAGGTTTGGAATACTTTTGNCATACAAGGACTCTAGGTCTGGTAGCATGGTTCGTCGTATCGTCTCATCGTCTCGTAACGGGGTTGAGCTACATACAAGTTCTCTATAAGGTTGTTGCATCTTGGAAGTGAAGTGCCAAAAAAAACATCATTTGCTAAAGATGCTCTTATTTTGGTTGTTGATAAGAATGACTCCTCACGTGAGAGGGTGTACAACACAACTTCGATTTTTTTTAGATTTAAATAAACTAAATGTAACTACCTAGATTCCCCGCTAGCAGATATTGTATCTTTGGGCTATCATTCAGGGTTTGGTTTAAAACAGGGTGTTTTGTTCTCTTCCCCAACCAACCAATGTGGGACATCATAATCAATGTGGAACCCACTCCGGGTGTTTTGTTCAATCCACCCCTTTGAGGCCCAGTGTCTTCGCTGTCACTCGTTTCTTTCCCCAATCGATGTGAGACCCCTCCAAATCCACCCCGTTTTGGGGTCCAATGTTCTTACTGTCACATTGCCTCGTGTCTACCCCTTCAGGGAACAGTGAGAAGGCTGACACGTCGTACGACTCAAATTCACTACTACCAGATATTGTTTTTTTTTGGTTTTTCCTTTCGGGCTTCCCCCCTCAAGCTGCTTTGGGTTTTTCCTTTCGAGCTTCCCCCTCAAGCTTTAAAACACGTCTGCAAGAGAAAGGTTTCCACGATTTTGTTCTCCTCCCCAACCAAGGTGGGACATCACACTAATTAAAAGTTTAAAGTTAAGCAATAAATACCTTGATGAAATATGAATATGAAGGTGGGACTTCTTGTGTTATAATGAGTTGAACTCTCACGAAGTCTTCCTTGAGTCGAATCTCTATGAGGATAATTCTAGCAGGCTGCTTTTACTTCTTGTGTTATAATGAGTTGAATCTCCCAAGCTCTCACAAACTCTTCCTTGAGTCGAATCTCTAGTTTTTCCATAAAATCGACATATTAAGTTTTGACATAACTAAATCAGAAATATAAACATGATTGAATAATGAATAGAAACCGTGTGAAGTTATGACTGAATAATGAACTTTGACTTTTATAGCTTTACAAATAACTAAAAATATAAACTAACCGTAAACAAATATGGTAAAATATTTAAACTAAATATCTAAAAATGCTCTAACAATAGCTAATCAAATTCTTCTAATGATCCCTCCTTAACTTATTCTTTTTTGTCAAAATAATAAATTGACAGTTCCTTTTTTGTAAGATCTCTAAGAAAGTGAAATCATAATTGAATTTTTGGATAGCTTAATAGTTGAAGTATTATCGTATAGCTTGTGGTTGATAAGGTTCTATCAGTAACAAGATCAATTTCTGTGGTTGATAAGGTGGCTATAGGCGGCTTACAAGAAGACCAAGCTACTGCTCCTTCATTCATCATAAATACATAGCTTGAAATACACTTGTTATCTTCCACGTCTCCAGCATAATCACTATCAGTAAATCCATTTAAATCATTAACTTCTCCCTGATAGGAACCAAGAGACATCAATCATATTATATACTTCAATGAAGATGTGAAGAAAATATTGTTGAAATTATCAAAAGATATTTCAATTCATGTCACATTGAAGAAGAATGAAGTTTCATGTTATAAATTTTGGGTGAATTACAATTTAGAGTAATTTAGAGTTATTGTATTACATTAATATATTTTAAGACTTTTTATTTACTTTAGGTTACCATTACATAATGGTTAATTATGGGTATTAAGTATGAATGTTACAACTTTGGAATGTCTATAATAGTTTCATTTTGAGGCTATATAAAGTCATGTTGTATTTGTAAAAAGACTTGGGAAAATATATATAAAATGAGCATTTGTGCTTTCTTTAGCCAATGACTAAGTTTATTTGCAATTCTATGTAGTTAGGTTGCATGTAGATCATTCAAGCTCGACATGATCAATTTTCATTGAAGTATATTGTATGATTGATGTCTCTTGGTTCATATCACTCCCTTTCTATAAAATACACCATAATCTACCGTACCTTTCAAGTACCTTAAACCCCTTTTAGGGGCTGCAAAATATTGTTGTATTGGACATGCCATAAAATGACTAATCAAACTTACAACAAACATGAGATCAGACGAGTAGCAGTGAGATACATCAGACTTCCCACTATTTGTTTATACAAAGTTACATCTACTTTTGCACCATTTTCATTTTTGCCAATTTTCTGTCCTGGAACAATGGGATTACATAGAGAATTATTATTCTCTATGTCAAATCGATTTAAAACTTCAATAGCATACTTTCTTTGATATATAAAAATACTATCTAATCTTTGTATTACCTCTCTTCCAAGAAAAAATCTCATTTGACCTAAGTCAGTCATATCAAACTCTTTCTTCATGAAACATTTAAATTCCTGTAACGACCCAGAAAAAGAAAAAGAAAAAACTCAGTTGCCATAAAACAAGAAAAAGAAAAAAAAAACTCAGTTGACAGAAAACTCGTGAATTTTCCGGCGACTGCCGAGTTTCACGAACCCCACACGAAACGACAGCCACACCTCACTCAACCTTCAACCCACGACTCCCAGAATCAATTAAAGTACATGAAAACAGAGAAAAGGACAAATACGAGAGAGAAAGAGGTTTCGAATAATGTCAGCAAGTTTCCAATTCCTCCGACGAGCCCCAAACTACCCTAAAATCGATGCCAAATGCCCAGTTACCACCACGAGAAGGATCCCTAACGAAAGCACAACTCAAGGTACATTTTGTGCCTTTTCGTAAGCACCCTCATCGGTAACCGAGGTCAGAAAATTGGATTTTCCTAAACGTTCTTAGATTTGTGGTTTTAGGAACTTTTAGGTCACAAAACTTCGAGGAAGGAAAGAAGAACGACAAACAAAGAGGACCGAAATGGAAACGCAGCGGGAAGGAGAGAGAAGACGCGTCAGAAAATCGGCCGAAGTTGAGTAAGGAAGACAAGATCCACGGATCCGAGTCAACTCGAACCCAAAACTCGAGAGAGCCAGCCCGATTCTTTCCCTCGGTTTTTGCCTTCGACCCAGCCCAACTACAGCAGCCCAAACCTCAAACCAGCCTAGAAGCAACGATTCAGTTGAACCAACCCGAGACCAGACCCACGGTCCAATCGAACTGGCCTGCAACCCAAACACTTGCGGCCCAGCCCAGTAGGCCAAGGCCCAATGATTAGTCTGGCCCATTAGCCTTCTGCAGTCCGCGACCCAAATTGGATTGTGACCCGTACCTCGACCCAACGCTATCGAACGACGTGGCTCGTTTTTCTGCTGCCACATGTCACACATAGGTGCAGACGGTCCCTCGGCTTAGCTCGGTGCAAACGGCTCGAGCTCCCTCCAATGACACTCTAGAGGCTCCTCTGGCGACTCCCAGCAGCTGTTTGGCTCGGCTCACTTGTTTTCAACCCGGTTTCCACTGTTTCGACCCTCATGGATCTGTTTTCGGTCCTGATTAAGGTATCCGAGACCATTTTAGAGTTTTATTTCACATTTATTGAATTATTGGTAAATTAATTGTGGAATACTAACGAAAGATGGCGAACGGTGTGATAAGAAACAAACCCCGACAACGTAGGAAGCAACTCTCACGAACCGGGAGCTTACATTTAGCTAATTAGGGAATACTTCGGCTAAGGCC